ACTAAACGTATTTTTTTAGTCACCTCTATCACCTCGAGAGGGTATTATTTATGCGTCTTTTCAGAAACATATCGGAATTCTGGAAGTGAACCATATTGTTAATTTCGTCTTCGGAGTTGGCAGCACCCTCTCAGAACCTTATGAAACTTTGTGGGTGTGGAGACTTAGCAATTTTAAGCAACTTTGAGTACTTATTTTTTTCAAAATTTATCTCGCCTAACATTTGATAAGGGTCAAAGTTTTTTGTCGATTTTTTTTTCAAATCGATATAGCTTAAAAATGACAAGCCCTACAAAATAGTGATGTATGGCGAACTTTTAGCAAATAATCTGAAATTTTAACATAACTTCTCTGTACCCTTTTCAAATGTTAGGCTAGATTTCGCCCAGATTATCGAAAAGTATACCCATAAAGTTTAATCGAATTTTAATAAGGTTGTGCGCGTATTACTATTCGACTTTGAGTGAAACACGCTAAAAAAAAATTAACATGAAAAAGTTGTTGTTCGAACAACTTTTTTTCCTTAAAAGCGCCCACTTTGCGATGTATGAAGAAAAGTTAGGTAATTATATTGCCTTTCATGAGAAAAAATATCAAGCAAATCTGAGGGGTACCATTTTTGGGAAAATGACTTTTAATTTTTAAATATATTTTTTTAGAGTGTAGAAACCGATTTTTTATTTTATTTAGATTTTTTTATAAAATTTCAGATTATTTGCTAAAAGTTCGCCATACATCACTTTTTTGTAGGGCTTGTCATTTTTAAGCTATATTGATTTGAAAAAAAAAATCGACAAAAAACTTTGACCCTTATCAAATGTTAGGCGAGATAAATTTTGAAAAAAATAAGTACGCAAAGTTGCTTAAAATTGCTAAGTCTCCACACCCACAAAGTTCCATAAGGTTCTGAGAGGGTGCTGCCAACCACTGGATGAGTTGGCGTGAAATCCGTCTTGCTTTAACCTACGATCAAGCTCGAGCATGCCAACTGTGGACGACCACCGTAAGGATTGATTAGATGTCAGGGAACATTAAAGGCAGTCTGGGTTTCTTGATTTTCCTTTCTACTTCTTAACCGTATTCAAGAATTCCAACAGTTACTACTGATAGTTACTGAAATTACATTCTTAGTAGATTGGAGCTCAGATGGTAGTGTAGTGGATTGATATATTCTCTGGAGCACGGATGAACACATTCGTAAGAAAAATCGCTGGCGATCATCACCATTTCATGAAGAAATGTAAAGATACTACAATACATGTTCGCTAACTGAGTGTTCTTTAATTGGGCTTCTTTTTAACTGGGCTATAGCCCAGTTAAAAAGCAGTTGTTAGCATTAGCATCGATCAAGTTGCACAATATCGTATGTGGTACGAATTCAAAACTATTAAGAGCAAGACGGATATCTATCCCTGGACAGATAGTAAAAAGGAAATAATTACTATCTCCCAGATAAAGACATATCCCTCTCCAACAGTTAAGGATTGTCCTGGCCACGTTCTTGCCACTGGTAGGGATAGGAAAGGTATGTTAGTCCAACATTTACTTAAGAGCGATGCAGAGAGAACTCTATGACCCCTCATAAATGGGGAATTAGGAATTATGTTAATAGGGACCCAGTTAAAAAGCAGTTATTCGTCAAAAATAGACGTCACATTTAGTTTGACATTTCGTTGTCAAAATTGGTGAGGGGCATTCGAATGGAATATTAAGAGTTAATATAAATAAATTTGAAATTATTTTCATTTCACACTGAAATCAGGACTTGAAAGCGTTTTTTAGCGAAAGCGTTAAGCCTATCTAAACTCGTGAAATTGAATGCTGTGAAAATAACAATAAAAACTTTACACTGCTTAAATTGGGTTCTTTAAGGGTATTGAGGTAAATGCATATTCGGAATCTGCATTAAAAGTGGAACCCAAACACAATATTCAATCAATTTTGGTACACTGGAACTATTTTTAATAAGTACGATTACATTAGCAAAAATCACCTTATTAGCGCCCCTCGGTGTCACTTTAAATGGGAGCGAGCTGTCAGTTGGTTAGTTTAGTGTCAAACAGTGAAGTTATTATTTTGCTTTCAATCTTGATTTAAAAATCAAGATGAAAGTGTGTGGGTTCGAAAAAAAACGCTGTGCTCAGAAGACGAAGCTCTTTCAGATGATGTATAAAAACCGATACATTTTTCAAAATTAAAGAACCCAATTCAATGCGCAATAAATTTTTTAACGTCAATCAAACAATCCATTGAAGTTCCCTTCAGTGTTTTTTCACGTTCGACAAGCCAGCCCAGTTAGCGAGTGAAATAGCTAACTGGGCTGTGCTGTTAGCCCACACACTTAGAAATTATCGCCGACTTCGGTAATTTTTACCGAAATCTGAACAGCTGAACTGTTCGGTAAAATTTATGCAATTCAAATCACTTCCTTTTCAGTTACTTTGAAACTAAATCTCCACTAAAATTACAAGATTTGATCGTTTAAGCAAGGTTGAACATGTTTTGAAATTAATTTTTAATTCAATGGACTTCATCAACCGTCTGGGTGTAATAGAGGTCAAAAAGAAATCCCCATTGGATTCAAAATGCCGAGAATCCTACCACGCTTGCTATCACGGGTTATTAAGTATATGAACGTAAAATTGAAGACCAACGTCGTAAAACTCATAAAAAATAGGAAAGCTGACACTGCTTAATTTTTATTAAAGAAAAAAAATATACTTTTAACCTTTTGTCCAAAGTTGACGAAATAAATAAATAAATTTAAGAAAACAAAACTGTATTCTTATATGTACTAGTCTACGTTGGTTGACGAAATAAATAAATAAATAAAAAAAAAAATTAAAGATCTACAATGGCAAACATTTGCTTCGTCGCGGCCATCGATCTGTCTTCCCGTACATTTGCCGGCAGATCAGGCTTCTTTCGTTGAAGTGCCAAATATCTGGATAAATAATATAAACATTGCCATCTGTCATCTGGTGTATATTTGACTCTCGTTACCCAGCGATGCAAATCGATAACAAGGAGATTATAAATGTGCATCAATGGCAATCTTTGTTATTCTTTGCCAAAGTTCAACCCAGCAACCACGAAAGTTAAATTGTGATACACTACGATGGAAACATGATTCATGACATATAAGTCGAAAATTAGCATACTTTACGATTTATCTTAAACATAATGCGATTTATGTCATGCTTATATGCGATGTTGACTTAAATTGTAGCAATGTACGATACTGTCTGTATTTTGTTGTATGACATTTATTTGTCTGGGAAAGTTACAATGGTATCAGTATTTAAATCAAGTGTTCACTCGGCTGTCGACAAAAGCAGGCCACTCTCGATGTGTGCTACGCGATCGTCTGTTTTCTCGGCAGCAACCATTGTGTGGTCCTCCTCATTGTTCTTCATCAGCAGTTCTTTCGGTCGATGCGTCGTCGACTTTGGAAAGCATCTATCATCATTCAATAAAGTGTGACACAACGAAATTGAGCGAAATTTGGTATGGCACCATTGGCGTAAATAAGGTGGGCCGGGTGGGCCTTGCCCCTTCCCTCCCCCAGAACTAGAGCTGGCCCACCCCAGATAATTTAAGAAATAAATACAAGAGAAATCTATGATAGCACTGCATGGAGGATTTACGATATTTTTCCAGGTTATCTAAAATAAACTCTGCTGCGGCTTTGAATTTCTTAATTAATTGCTTATTCACGGCTGATGATTGGCCTTCGTCTATCATTTTATCCTCAAAAACGGATTCATTCACAACACAATCAAGCAATAACACCGATAACGCCCATGCATCAGAATCCTAGTCTTAACCACTTCAAACTAGATAGCAGCTAATAAAAGATTTTGAATCACGTAGATGAAAAAAAAAAAACTACCGAGTCTCGTCACTATCAACAAGGCACAACTAGTAAAAAGGACTAAGTTTCTTTGATTACAAAAACAATCCTGTTCCCCTAGTTTGAAGTGGTAGATTTCGGAAGTTTCCCTGAATTCCAGGAAATTTTCAAAAATCTAGCTCCCTGAACTTCTTCATAACTGCTTGCTCTTCAAAAGAAGTTTTGCGAAATTTCTCGATTTTCTATTTCATTCGCTTAACTTGTACAAAAATCGTTGAACTACTATAAATTTTCTGCCCTTCTGTGAAGCTTTTCGAACTTTAAGAATATCGTTTATTTTCTGTTCCCTGAAGTTCTCTTCAAAATTTGAAATTGAAATTGTAATACACCAAACTATTCTATTTTGTTTCAAGAAGTGCTATAAACAAAAGAAGGTACCGGAATTTCAATAGAGTTTCCTGCAATAAAACAATGTTTAATTAACATCATTGAAGTTTCTCAAACTTGTACATGTTCCTCACTTTTACAAAGTTTTCCAAAAATAAAATCGTAGCTCTCCGAATTTATATTAGATTTCAAGCATTTCTACGATTTCACTGGAACATCTCCGAAGCCACTGAAGATTAAAGAAACTTAATGAAGGTAAAGAAAAATGCCAAAAATTTAACGAACTTCCCCACATTTGTATGAAGTTTAATGAAGTTCGCTGAGCTTTTAAAATAATAGCTGAACTCTTATACAATTTGTTGCTCTTATATAATTCTCCACTTCCTTAAGTCGAACCCATTTGGTGAACATGACAACTTATAGTAATATGTCAGGCGTAACATTCGAAAACGGCACAAGAGCTTTTGTAAACTAACTGTGTAAGGTCAGTCCTCACACACCATCCGATGATTGCGTGGGCGTACTCCACTTTGGGTGTAAAGGGCCTCACAACGCTTGTTTACAAAAGCTTTTGTGCCGTTTTCAAATGTTACGCGAGAATGTTATAGTTTGTCACACACAATTTCCCTCCGAGGATTACTGAATTACCCCTGGTTGAAAACCACTGCCCAGAAACTGATTATATTTTGCAAGCGTAATAGTTGTCGAACATTTAAAACTAATTACAGTTTCATAGCAAAACATGGATCAAAAAACTCACCTGAGGAAACTGTAGCGATGGTCCACCGCCTCCACCGGGGAAACGTCCACCTGAGAATGGTGGTTCGAATCCTCCCGGATGGTCGTCGTGACGTCTCCAGTCCGGCATGTTGTTACTGTTGTTGCGCTGCAGCATTTCCATTGCCTCCTCCAGGCTCATGTTGGACGTACGAAGGGCTTGCTCAATGTCCTCCTTCTTGAAGCCCATCTCGTACAGAATACGGAACTGCTTGCTGCTACGGATAATGTCCTGTGGATTGTGTTTGTTTGGTGGTTTACCTACGCCACCTACTCCGGCACCCCAATCATTACCAATCAGATCAGATGCCTCTGGCCAAACATTTCCACCTCCGGCAATCGGTTTCTTACTGTTCCATGTCGAAGGATTTCCTGGGCCATCATTCCATGTGGATGCACCTGCGCCTCCGCCTCCTCCTCCTCCTCCTCCTCCACCACCTCCTACTCCACCTCCTCCTCCTCCTCCTAGTGGTCCAGGACCCTTTTCCTCCCAGTTATTAACATTAGGCTCATCCCACGACCCATTCCGCATCGAGGCTGGTCCTCCATGTCCCCACATGTCAGACTTCATTTGATTTCCAGGACCACCAAGTCTCGGACCACCCAGTCCACCAGGGCCAATCGGACCGGAGTTGCCTCCGAGTGGGTTTCTTCCATTGCGAACCATAGCTTCGGGGCCATTAGGGCGGTTGGGATTAGTTGGTGGTACCCACAAGGATGTTCCGTCATCCAAATTAGACATATTTCGCCGGCTCGCCGGTGGTGATGCCTCATCCCAGGATGTTTGTGGTTTAGATGGTGGTATGTTCTGAGGGCCACCAGCACCAACCGGCCATGGGTTGCCACCTGCGTTGTTCAACATGGGTGCTTGTGGAGGCATTTTGTTCAATGGTGTATTAGGCATTGGATGCTGATCCCACATGCCGGAAGCACCGTTCAAGCGACCTGAAATGCCTCTGGGATCTCCGCGGAATTCACGGTTGGGTTCGATGGCACCTGGAGGACGCATACTGCGCATGTCAACATTAGGCATGTCCAATGGTGGAGCAGGGATATGTGGTGGCGGTGGCGCTGCTGTTCCACGATTCTCCCAATTGTTGCCACCCGTTACTCCGACATTGCCGGTCCACTCTGGTTCTTTCTTGGGTGGTGGAGCATTTGTAACGTTTGGTGGCCACATGGCGTTATTATTTTGATTCCAACCTTGCTGTCCAGCTACGGGAGGATTTCCACCTCCAGCAGCACCTCCGGTCCAAACGCTATTAGTTTCGGCGTTACTATCGTCGTCAACTCCCCAGGTACCTCCGATATTGCTCGACGGTCCCCAAGGAGTTTTCTGAGTCGGTTGTTGAGTTGGCTGGCCACCGTTGCGAAGGTTCGTTTCCCACAATTCCGTTCCGTTGTTGAAGTTAATTTTCATGTCTTTGTTGACCGGTTCTGGAGAAGCTGGGACGTCCCATTGGGTATCCTGGTTGACGTGTTGGCATCCCCAGCCATCTTGGCTAAACAGGGCTTCGCGCATTGAGTTGAGATGTTCCAATTTAGCGGATGAAGTTTGAGCGGGTGCTCCCGGTTGGGCTGCAAGTTGAGGATTTCCACCTGGTGCTAGTGGTGCTGGTGGTTGCTGTTGCTGTTGAGAGGATGGTGGTAGGTTGCTGCCATTTCCAGGATTAGCCCCAGGAGGAGGTGGTTGATTTGGTGGTTGCGGTGCTTGCTGTTGAGGCGGTGGTTGAAGTGGTGGTTTGTTGTTGGGATTGACAACCTGATTCCAACTGTTTGTTCCGTTGCTCGAGCCTACCAATGGCCCAGCGGCAGCTCCCTGTGGAGGCTGCATGGGTTTAGTGATGTCTGGCCTTTGGTTTGCATTGGGTGGGTTGTTTCCCCAGCCACCTTGCTGCTGTGGAGCAACTGCACCCCATGAAGCTGTATTGGCATTGGATGGAGGTGATCCCCAAGCACTAGTTCCGTTGTTGAGCGAACTTTCACCGCCACCGCGAAGACGTAGGCAACGGGACGGGATGCTTCCTGCTGCTTCCAATTGTTTTTGGCGTTCAGTTAATCTCAAAAGCTCGTCGAATGATGTGTATCCGGATGATTTCTTCTTACCATTCAATGTAACCGTTATTGTAGCTGGTGTATCTTCAACCGCAATCAACAATGTTTCGGTTGAGTGAAGTTGGCTCTTATCAACTAGATTTTGGTCATTTGTAGTATAATGCTGAATTCGTAGAAAATGGTTCTTCTCTACACTTATGCTAAGATTAACGTTAAATTTAATCAGGTAATCAATAAAATCACATATCATATTCACAGTGTTATTATTCACTTTCTTCACACTATGGCTGTTGTCGGTTTTGCTACAACATTCGCTGATATTGAAGATTAGCTCAAACGATGCACGATCGATGACCAGCTCTTCTATTGCACCCATTGTTGTAATGATGTTCTTCTGGCTAGGTTGATTGTACTTCCCTGGATTTGCTAGCAATACTTTGAGAATCAATCGACTCATACTGTTTCCTGCGCAATATCACGTAAACACACACTTACGCTTATCATTTTGTTTACTTCCTTCACTAGTAAGCTTACTTTCTTCTTAAAGCGTATTCAGACTTGTTCGTATTGGATTGAGTAATTGCAACAAATATGCATTGTTCAACTCCTGCGCGGTTCTTGCTTCGGTTATGTACCCGGTAGGAGCTGCACCCGTTTGCTTTCGGCTAATCGTGTATCTTTGTTTTTTTGGAATGTTATCGAACCAATCTGGTTGTTGGTTGTTAGGAACAGAGTTCAGCTTCTTCTCGTTTTTCGGCACGTCAATAGTCCGTCTTCGTTATCTTCTGCTTATCAAGGGCGCACTATCATCACCGCACAGTCTTAGTTTTTTTTTTCAAGGGGCGCTGAAAAAATAATGTTTTCTCCACGCGTGCTTTAGTATTTTACAGCAGTAAATTGGCTAAGTCTCTTCGAGTATGCTACGATCACTTGTTTAAATTTTCGTGGAACACAATGATGATTTAGTTTTTAGTTTTGTTTTTGCAGTGTTGTGAGCCGGAGTCACATCGTTCACAGCTAGTATTATTGTTTTCATTCACATGTTGTTTGCGGTCGTCGCTATGTTATTTACTTAGCATCCATAGATTACACTAAAACCACAGATAAAAGCTGACAAAACGTTGATAACACTCACTGATTTACTGCTATATAGTTTGATAGTTAGTCCATGTGGATTCCTGTTTAGGCTTAGCTGTACTTACACGTATCAAGACGATTTTTAAATTGAATTTTTCACTCACAGATACTTTCAGTTATAATTTTCACAGGAAATGATTTTATGCGGTGACGGTTGTAGTATATTCTCGTTCTTTGATTCGACGAAATATAGATTCTTGGTATATATGCACTTGTATTTTGCTAAAATTTGATTTTTTTTTAATGTAGATTTTCACGTGGGATAGTTGAAATTAGCTTTTGCTTAGAGTTAAAAAAATTCTGCTTCCATACATACGCACGAATGGCGCCCGAAAGAGACTTTTTGTGTGTGTGTGTTTATATATTGTAGTAGATATTATTGCATTTCACTTTGTGTTGAAAATTGTGATTGTAGTTTACTTTCTGTTTTCTAAATTTTTAAATGTTCGACTCTACTAGCTTCGTCAGTCACATACACATGGAAGATGACTTTTTGCTGGCACGTATTTTCTTATTTCCTTTGCTGCACACCGCTAACAAACCGTCCTGTTGAGCACTATAGAGTTTTGATTCTGCTCTCTAAATTCACATCACACCCGAATTGGCTGTCACACGTGTTGTTATAATGTCCATCTGCCGTTTTTCACTCCCGCTTCTACTAATCTTATGAATTCCACTAGACACTACTTCTCACACACTAGGTTTTGTTGGCCAGGGGGACGAAGCACCTTCACCCTGAAATTAGAAGTAGAGGTACATTTGAAAAATTAGTTTCTAAATTAATGCGGAATTTGTATTTTATTTGGTGCTACCTTTTAGGACGGAGTCAGATCCCCCAGAAGGATTCTCGTTACGCGAAATGAATCGAGTAATAATATCACAGATAAATCAGATGATAACAACGACAGTAACTGGTTTGTGATGGTGTAATGTGTGACGGAAATGCTTTCGAGTGATTCGATCTACTGTATCGAAATGATCTGCGAGATAGCCTGAAATGGGAAGAGATAGAGAACTAGCATTAGACGTTGCCGCATGGCTCAAGATAAATAACGGTTAAATCAACAACATACGAAAATTGAACAGAATCTAAGTTTTTTTCAGAATAGACACACAACAACACACAAACTAAGCTTGGCAACAAAGCAACATACCTAGCTGACCCAAAACTTCTATTCAACACCCACTTCCTCCCGCTACAAAATGGCCAGCACAGCACATTCAAGCAAAAAACTACACTCCACGGTTAGACCGTAGCTCCGTTTTTTTTTGTGCACACCTTTCTTACGTAACAGTTTATTGAACCGTTTGTTTTTATTTTGCGTGCCTTCTCATGCGCCGCCGAGCTAGCAGTGAAGTTTTAAAGTGCACAACCGCCGCGCCGCTGAGTGCGCAAATGGTGTCTTGAGCTAGTCGGCATTAAATAGGTAGATAGACACGCGACTTGGCATGATTAACTTTAACTACAGTTGGTACGCGGTAGCACAATTTTGCTGCCTATGACGACTAACAATAGTTAGCAAAGCAGTTTTTGCATTTAAAAGTACATTGAGTTTGGCATGTAACACACCCAAACGCAACGGATGCATCAAATTAAATGAGTGATCGTTTCAATCTATACACCACTCAACAGATTGTCGTCACATTCTAAACAGAACCTAATTTGCCAATTTCGATATGTACTACATTCTAAACACGTATAAACCCCAACCAACTCCAAATTCAGCTAAGCAAGGGCTGCCAAAGCGATAGTGCTAGTAAGTAGCTATATACGGTGGCATGATTTAAATTGAAGCAGTAGCCAGTATAGGTACCTACCTACACCACCATGGTGTGCACGGTAGGGCAGGGTTGGGCAAGGTGGGTTATCTACTTGGTTTATTTATTTTTTTTGGTTGTCACTCAATGTAAGTTTGGAAAACCATTTAATATTGACAAACAAATAACTTAATAATTGTACTAGCTGACCCATCTTGCCCCAATGAGGAAATGGTCGTAAAATGGTGTTCGTGTACCGCAAAATATGTTATAATGTTTATGAAGTATACCTTCCGTGACGTCAAACTCCACTTTTTTCATGTCAATTTTTTAGGATTTTTTCGGTGATGATGTTTACCTCTATTTTGCTACTAATACCAACTCTTCTGCCACACATGAATAGACCTTATTGATTTTGCCCCACTTTACCCCTACACGGTAAGAAACGACCAGTTCACTTTTGCCTACTTTTGACTAGTTTGTCTCCTTTTCTCCTTCTAATGTTGTCAAAAACGGAGGAGCAAAACCACCTACTTTAGGGTACAACTAACTTACTTTTGGGTAGAAAGCGAGTGGAAAATTTCATACGATTTTCACACAAGTAAATGAAAACTACTTTGGATTCCTGCACTATAGTGCCGAAATGAGTGAAGAGAACTTACTTTTGGGGACTTTTTTCTTACCGTGTACACTTATAAATATGCAGTACATTCATGAAGATATAGTGCCAGAGATACGCACCAGCTTATAGATACATTAAAAGCGTCAGCCTTAAATAAACGAGCTAAGCCATGCGAAAGCAAAGCAAATAAACATTCCATCATGCAATTCAGCATCAGGGTCTGATTGTATACATTATTTAGCGTAGGTTATAGGCAGGCAGGTAGGTAGGTATGTACATGCAATCCGGTCGCTTTTCAATGTTTGCTGATGATGGTTTGTGTATACTTGTGTTTGCTGTAAGTATTTAATATTTATGATAGTAAAAGATGCACATGCACAGCGCGGAATGAAAGCAAACCCATACAGGAAAACGGTGGGTTAACCTATAAATGTCCCATGAAATTTATTATATACAATAGTGTTTTTAACAATTGCACTCAAAACCCTAAAACATGTTATCCATAATCTCAACTTAATACGTTCCTTATTCACTAGATTGAGCCAGCGATGCCAGATAGTTTTGCAAAATGTCTGTGAGAAAGCTAATGAATATAAGATCGGCGAAAAATCCACTCGAACCTTATTTAAAGGTAAAGCATTTGTGTGCACGAGATCTCAAAAATAAAGTTTTAAAAAAAGGTAAAGCATTTTTTGATGTCCTTGAATTTTGATTAGTTTCTCTGGAAATCTTAAAAGTACTGAGGTTATCTAAATTTCCTGTAATTTTTGAAGTCTTAATAAAGGTTTCCCAATAATTTGCAATATTTCCTACTTGTTTGAAGTTCTTCAAACTTTACTACCTCTCACCTCTTACTGATGAATGGTTGATTGGGAGTTATCTAAAAATTGAAATTTGAAATTTTCAATTTCATACTGGAGAAGGTTTTTCATTTTCAAGCACAGAAGGGTAGAGGTAAAGATTTGGCACCACAGAATAATAGTCACAGGGATCAAGTGAATCCTGCTTAAGATGCCGGATAGGAAAGATTAGTGTTTCAAGTAGGGGATAGTCGGAGTAACAGTAGTAATAGTTGTAGTAAAAGTTGGAAAGTAAACGTACAGAGGACCATGTTTTGCAATACCTTCTTAATCATGATCTTTTTGAAATGTTTGAGAATCAGTGTCAGTCAGTGCCATGGTCTTTGTCGATGTCTTTACGTTTGTCAGTTGCCATCGTCATTATAGGTGTTGTCTCAACGTATATGTTCTTGTCAATGACAGTATTGAAAGTATCCGTGGAAGTATTTTTCACTGTGTGTGGTTATGTGTGTTTTCACCAAATGATTATATTTCTTCCTCATCTCCTAGTTTTAACTGCGTTCAAGAATAATTAACTAAAAAAGAAATGTAGCAAAAGTTCATACTATAACATGTCTAACTTACTATCTACTTTTGTTGACTAATACCTAAATGTAATTTTTAATCTTTAAATTTAAGGCACCTCTTAACGGAATTCCTTTATGAAGCGCTTTGAGTGTGTAATTTTTAATTTTATGACGATAAGTTGCTCAAAATAGCAGCCTGTAATTCCGTACCATAATCCACCTCCAATTCAATGTCTTTTGTGGATTCGTAGAAGCAAAGTTGGGCTAAAAGCTAAATAGTTACCTAAATCGTTCACAACCAGAGCCGGATCACTGATGAAAACAAAAACTACAACCCTGAAAAACGTAACCTTTTCATGCTACTGATTCTGTCCAATTGTTAGGTATCCAAATTATAGTCATCCGTAAATGTATTATTGAATATATGGATGAATTATCTATTATTGAATAACTATTATTTACGATTATTACATGAAAAAAATAACAAACTACAAACTACAAACAAAACGTGACTACTAAAATCTCAAAAAGATATTCTCACAAATGTAGTTCACGCAACCAGGCCTGCTTCCACTCACTCGCCACCTTGCACATGCAGGGCTGGTAGCGCTGATGCGATATAATAGTAGTGACTTTAGAGACTAAAATTACAAAAATAGTGACCAAATAGTGAATACTAAATAAGTAACCATTTATATGGTAACTAAGAAATTCAAATACGGTTTGATATTGAAATAAACTTTTTATGTCATGGAACTTAAAATCAAATTTTATAAATTCCTCTAATTTAATTGAATATCACAACGGAATCTCCTGTGAAGACCATTTGATGTGATTTGAATAATTTACTTTTGCTTACGTTATACATGATGACTAGTAAATAGTATTTCCCATTTTGTTATGATCTTGAATTTGATTCTTCGTTCGAAATCTCTAAATATTTTATATATCAAGGTAGATAACTTTGATAATTTGCTATGACCTTTCGCAGAATTTCTTCAGAATGATCTCAAGAACTTTTTTAGAACAAACGGCAAATAAGCAAATAAGCTTTTACAAACGAGCAAAAATCAAGCTGAGAGTTGACTCGACACAAAAATTATTCTTAGAAAGAGAAAGTATAGTTTGCTATCTCTTTTTACTCTTCACCGATGGCAGACACGAAGTGACTGCTGCCAGCCGTTATGGAAGTTTCGGTTGCATTCGTGTGTAAAGCAAAAATCATGAAATTCAATCTCACCACAGATTGTTGAGATTTGCAGCTGGTGAGTTTTGTTAGCTTGATATTCCGAGCTGCGATATCACAGCTTGCAAAATCAACCGCAGTTGTTTGCTTGTTGATTTTTGTGTACGAAAATCAAGCGTGATCGTGGACGTTGGTGAGATTTGATTTTTTGATATTTTCCCAACACTTGATGAAAGTAAAGAGTTGATAGTTCCGTTATAGTGTGGCAGTGTGAAATTTTTATATAGAAAGTAGAATGCGAACAAAGGACAATTTTAAGGAAGCTATGTAAATCGTTAAATTCACGCATGAAGAAATAACACATGATTAGTTAAAGTAGATTTCGATTTTATATGTATATAAATATATATATTTTCGATTTTTTTATTGATTCTTCTAGAAACTCTCTGAAGGCTCCTTCCATAAATCTATCCTTAGAATTTCCATGCAATTAACCTCAGAAGGTTTATAAATTTCTGCTTAGAATAATCTTGGACTTCTCCCTTGCATTCAATTGGAAATTCAATTCGTATTCTCCTTAGAATCCCCATAGTATTTCCTCGGAATTTTCAAAACAACAACTCTTCTCAGAATTCCTTCGAGATTGAACCCTCAAAATTCGATTCCATTGAAATCCTTCTCGGAATTTATTTCGAACTTTCTTGGAAGTATCGTCAGAAATCACCCCAGAATTCTTTTAGAACTATCCGCAGAGACCATCTTTGGAGTTCACAGGACTTTCATGGAATTTTCATTAAGCATTAAGCAGTAAGCATGCATTAAGCAAAATTTCAGAACTAATTTAGGATTCTTATTAGAATTGGACACCGAATCCTCATCCAATCATCATAGAATTCTTCTCAGAACTCTCGTTAAAATGCACTCTCAATTACATTAGAAAATATTTCCATAATTGTTTCGGAGCTGAATTTTGCGCCTCTTATAATTTAAACAATAATCAAAAGCGACGCTCGTATGTGTTAAGCCAAGTTTTACTATATTTAGGTAAACCTGGCTTAAG